GATATAAAGGCACCGTTTTTGCGTGGCTGACACACGATCAGGTTGTTCCTATCTTTTTTGAATAAAAAGAAACGTAAATGATTATTAATCTATACGACTGATACTCTAGTTTAGATTAAAATGTACGGGAAGTGTCAAGAAATCATATATCGTCAAGAACGACAAATACATATATCGTGACGTTTGCTGCCTCGCATTGCGTCCACAGGAGCCCGCGGCTGCCCACCACTTGCCCGTACGGGCAGGTATGCCCGATAGATATACGTATAGGTATACATATAGACGAGCATAAGCTACCACTTTGGGCGAGGGGACCGTAGGATTGAAGGGGAAAATACAGCGGTCGTTAGATATACGTCGGTTAGCTTCGGATGCATTCGGCTCGATTCGGCTCGTTATTAATGGCTGGGGGGGTGTGTGCCGTACTATTATTTAACGCTTTATACTATTTATTAATTTTGTTAAATACATATATCTATACAAACTACAAGACATACGAAATTTTTAACGTATAATAAGTATATTCTTTTCATCTCTCATAGCATACATGTATGTAACGTGATTGTATACCCGAATAGCACCGAAAAGGAACGAAGTTACCCGATTTATAACTAACCACAAACAAAATTACCTTTTAATGTAGAAACTGCAATCTTTGAAACACAAACACATTTTTTGAAAAGGGTCTTATAGTTTTTGAGAAAAAAATTCCCAAAGAACACTCTTTTTTCGGCCTCCTGACTGAGCATGACCCCTTAATCCCAATCGTATCCTCCTTTGGATGCAACGGATTGCCGCACCAGGACCCGGCACGGGAGTAAATATTGCAGCTTTCGGTTGCGCCAATCGTCGCGAGAAACACTGGCTCACGACTTGTTCGCCGAGAAGTTCATTCTGTTTATTGCTTCATCGTGGAACTCCTCGAAAGGTGTTGCCGTTGCCGGAAATAATTCGGAATCAGATGGGATCGGCGAGAGAAGACGACGATGTGTACGTGTCTGAAATATTCAGGGAAATGCGGTACTACCGACAAGGATGCGCGACCCCTTGCCAAAAACGTGGCTGCCCTTGTACTTGGGAGACGGTCAACTTTTAGTCGTTAGGCAGATGTCCATGAGGTCGTTTCTCACACATTAACGGTTTTTATTTATCGCACTTGGAACGGCGAACCAAGAATCGGCGCGTCTGGTCACTTTTTCTGCCCCTCTAATAGATGCGCCGTCCAATGTGTGTTGCGCAAACGGCATCACGCGTTGCTAGTCTGTTTCGTCGAAATCACTTTCAGACTTCCGCTTACGTTTTGGTACTGTATTACTGTATATTGATTCTACGCATCTTTTTCCTGGTATTATGGCATTGCGAATTTATCAAATCCAAGGTAAGCTATTCCGACATACATTAACTCCGCTAGTCTAGCTAGTGGTTTTCAACAAATTAATGATCGTTTGATGCTTTTATTTTTTTAAATAATGAATCGCTTCGGATATGTCATTATTGTGTTTTTAGAGTAATTTGTGAAAAGTAAAGGTGGAATAAGTTCTTTTTCAAGTAAATTTTTATTAGGGGCGGATTGGAACTTAATTTTTAAACTTTCGAAACTCTCGAAACTTGAAGTGCTGATTTTGTTTTGCAAGAGGAATAGACTTTCGTTTTAAGAACAGAAGTCTCAACAAAATTTTTACATATATCTTTATTGACTTTATTTCTTTTCCGAGGGGTTTCGATGTTTTGAGAAACCCGTCTGTAATTTTTATTTTACTCAGTGTTTCTTTAGTTCTATTAGCACATAAGGAACCATTTCGAAGTATCAATCGCAAATTTTAATGAAATTTGGTAAAGAAGTAGCGAGCTAGAAAATATCATTTTCTTTATTGACAGACATTTACATTAAAGGGGTGAACACAGCTCTCTGTTTGGGGAGGAAAGCACATTTGTCAGATACATCTCGAAAACTATTAATGATGGACAAAAACTTTAAATTATAGAATTGCGTAGCTTTGTAACCGTATGGAAATCAAGCATATTTAAACAAAATTTCTGTTTTCGTAATATCTAATACAACTGGTGTTTTACTTGCACCTTTGGAGGCTGTTTTCAACGCTTGTGTATTAAATATCAACCGACAAAAAAATACATCTCCAATATTTTTTCATATACTCATAGAATTTGGATACAATTCTACTGCAATATTAAATATTACGCCAAAATTTTGTAACTCTGGGAAAGGAGGGGGGGGGGGTTAAAGCCATTTTTTCCGTCCAGTGGGTGGGGGCAAGTGCCCCCCCCCCTGGCTATGCTAATTCACTGCATTATTAAAATTACAACCTGAAGGTTCTTTTTCTAATCACACGAAAATTCAAGATCAAAAAGACAATTCACTGTCTCCTTTGAAGGTATTGAATTGGATGGTAGATCGACAATTAATTGATGTTTTCCCGAATGTATATATTGCACACAGATTACTTCTAACTAGTCCTATCTCAAATTGTGAGGCTGAAAGATCATTTTCTGTATCGATGAGAATAAAGAATATATTTAGAGCGACTATGTTAAATGATTGGTTATCATGCTTAACACGTTTAGCAATTGAAGCTGAATTATTAAGATCTATCGACTTTGTACTCATATTTTGAAGATTTTCATGGCAGAAGTTGCATTTAAATCACAGCACGGGCCGTCGTTGATCTGATTACAGTAACATGTCTTTAATGCTCTCACGTAACTGACGAGAAACCGAAGACATACTACACTAAGGCTAAGGTTAACGTGATGCAAGAATGTTTTAAACGAATTAAAACACGGCCACCCAGGAATAGGTTAGAGTCGCGTCTGTCCCAGCATTACCACACCTGTTTCTTAAACGTCAGTTACTGTTCGCTCAACAGAACCAACGTTCGCGCTACATTTCCTCGGTATGACCATCACCTCGAGCAATTTCTTACGTTCTTTGTGTAGTAGCATCGCGGAAGAAAACAATCACGGTTGCTTTCATGTGGGGACGAGGACATCACTCAGGTGATACTAGAATTATTATTATTAATAAGTTTATGTGCAACATTATCATTTACGAAAAGTGATTATTTTAAACGAGCTTTCAAATGGCCGATGCAGTGCTGCCATTTTAAAATTTACACAAAGTATGTACATACATCGTGTTTTTCTTTGTACGAAAATTAAGCAATTTTCGTGTATTTCTTCCATGATTATTTGGTCTATACTTATTCGAAGGAATATTAGGTAAATATTTACAATAAAGCACGTCCGATTTCGATGATATTTTAATATGTTGTAAATGTCATAACCCTGAGCATGGGCGTAGCCAGATTTTCAGTCAGGAGGGGGGGCAAAAATATTAACACATCGACAGCCACAGTAAAAAAAGGCTGTACGTAGCCAGACACACTTTATTTTGTTTTTACAGTCATAAATCGTTGAAAATGTATGCGTTTTGTTAATAGAGGCTGTTGTTCATGTTTCAAATTATACTGCAATATTAAATATTACGCAAACATTTTGTAACTCTGGGAAGGGGGGACAAAATCCAATTTTTTTCTTGTAGGGTGGAGCAAAAGCCACTTTTTTCCGTCCAGGGGGGGGGGGGGAAACGTTTTTGGTAAACGTTGAACTCCATTTCCATGCCAATTGATGTCAACTTACAATAAAAATACTTTGTTCTATCACTAGTAGTCTGTTACCAGACTTGGGCAAATTTCATTTGAAATAAAAACAAGACACAACCAATTGAAATAATTTTTTTTGGAAATTTATTTTCAATACTGTTATTTGAAAATAAAAATATTATCGATTCATTTGAAAGAATAGCAATTTCAAATAATGAATTATTTTGTTTGCAAAATAATATGCAACAAAAAGATTTTATTTTAAAAAATCTTCACAGCAATTTGCTTTAAGCAGAACTCGCTCTTCAAAAAGCTCATCCGTGAGAGATTTTCCGTGGCCTTTTATCTGAAACACGTTTATTTTCAATTTTATATCGAAGTAGACAAAGGGAATTATGTAGTACTTCTCGCAGCCGATTTTGAAAATATCAATATTTTACAAAATGGCGGCTGTTTCAACATAAATTTGTAGTTTTCGACATAAAGTATCAACTTCTTTTGTTACTAAAAAAAGAAAAATTGCACGAATCAAAAATTCACTTCCTCAAGTATAATAGACTTTAGTTTTAAGAATATTACCACAAAGTTTCTTTCAAATTGGTTCAGTAGTCTTTTAAATATTTCTGGTACCAATTTTGAAAAGTGCATTTCGAGTAAAACGCTGTTAAATGTCAGCCATTTTCTTGTGTTGATAGATACATAACTCAATCTTTCAGAAATTATTAAGGAAATAACATATAATAAGATGTATACATCAAATTGTTAATAAACAATAATTCTGCATATGTAAAAACTGTACGTATTTCAAAGGATTTTGGAAAATTTAACAATTTTTTTATTTTACAGCTGTTTGAAATATAATGTCAACGTTTGCTTCACAAAATCACAACTGTCGAACTAACAAACTGATCAAAATGAGCTTTGTAGGTGCTTACAGTGTAGATAAATTATTTCAGTAAAAAAATATATTTTTAACTGAAATCATTTTTATTAGATACTCTTCTGTCTCCACTGTAAGCACCCACAAAGCTCATTTGGATCAATTTGTTAGTTCGACAGTTGTGATTTTGTGAAAAGAACGTTCACATTATGTTTCAAACAGCTATAAAATAAAAAAATTGTTAAATTTTTCAAGACTACAGCATATCAAAGTGTCAATAAAATCCGAAAAGTTACTAAAAAAAGTGTCCGATTTCGTGTGGAATAACCCATATATGTACAATACAAAATAATTTTTAATTCTCCCTCTTATTCAACAGCTCAAAGGTATGTTACCCCTTTAAACTTTAAGAAAATACATTTAAAAAGAATCGATTTCTTTTTATGTTTCACAGTGTAGTGTTTCTCTTTAAAGAAAATTCGATCAATGGTTGGTTTCAGACAGCGAACTGGGCGCGGGTGTACGACGCAGTGGCTCCCTAAGGATACCAAAGTCATCGAACGTGGATCGTAATCGACTGCACGTGTCCTCGTACGATGGAAAATTATCGAGCATCGTGTCGTGGAATCAGGACCGATCCGACGGGACGCCAGTCCGGCCCGCCAGGCACTCCGCACCTGCGATTGACGCACCTGCGCCGGAATACCTTGCCAGGCACCTCCTGCAGCTTGGCTGCCCGGCCGTGTCCATGCCCACGTAAGTCCTTCCGTTACGACGGTCGTCTGTCCGTCGTTTTGTTCCGTCGATCCCAACCCGGATTTATCCGCGGTGACGGGATAAACCAGCTTCCCCATCGAAGTAAAACGCCGTCCGATGGTTTTTCGCTGAAATCCAGGGAATACTGCGCACAACTGTGTATTGGTGGCGAGGCTCTGGCGTTGCGGTTTTCCATGACAGGGAGGTGTGTGTCTGTGTGTTGACTGTTGGTTATATACGAGAGGAATTCGTTGGTCATTCGGTGAATTTGGGGAAACAGTGGTTTTCGTTACCGTGAATAACCCGTTGGATAGTGGATTTTGTTACGATTTTACGTTCTGGACAGCTCTTCTTTTTTTTTTTGCCGTTCCAGCGAACCTTGTTTCCGTGTAGCGGAGTGACATTTGGGCCGAGTTATGCGAAAAGCTATCATTTCTGAATGATCAGAAATGAAGTGAATTTAGTTTGAAGATTTTTATTTTTAACAAAAGTAGCTTTATTTCTATTGGGTATGCTGATAGCTATATTTTATTTCTTGTTCTTGTTTTATAACGATTTTCAATGGCTTACTTAATAGTGAGTAGTAAAATTAATATTATTTTTAATTTTCTATGTAGTTAATTTTAATTTTATTTTTCATTTTCTATGGCTTGGTAGCGTTTCAGTAATTAGGTAATGTAACAGTTGTTCTATGGATTGGTGATTTTTTGCAGAATAAAGATCACAAAATTGTGGGATTCGTACTGTGTTTAACGAATTTTTTTGTCATTTTGAGGATTGGTAGGTTTCTGCATAATCTGGCCCCATTTGAAGGAATGTTTCGGAATGTACTGTTGTTACCAAAGCTGGGGGAAATTTCGAGAGAAATTATTCTGACGTCTGTTTCGAATAGTCGATAGTGTACGGATCAAATGAGATAATATTTTAAATTGGGAAACGAAATTCTGAAGAATAGAATATTTTATTAACCTAAAGTGTGAAATAAGATATTTTAAGTTTGTACTTTTAAAATGTGTATCCAGTTCAACTTCAAAACATAAAATGACATGTAACAAGAGATAAGAAAAACATGTTTATCCATAAATGTATTATAGTAAGATTAATTTGGGCGTTACGAATGGAACGTGACATAAATTAAAACAAATACTTCAAAATAAAGCCGCATTATTTTCAGTGTTGCTCAAATAGAATGCTACTTTAAAAACTAATACAATCAATAAACTATTTTATTTTCATGCTTATACGCAGGATTTAAAATAAAGCAGACGATTTATTATTTAAAATATGTACTTTGCCCAGCTGTGGTTATTACAGAATTACTTCCGAATAGTTTCAACATAGGGCCAGATTAAAATGGAGAAATTACTTCACAGTGTGTTTCGTAAATATACCAAGCCCGTCAAAATTAAAGTATAAGAATCTTTCGTAAAAAATTCTAACACTACCTCTGGCAGAAAGTATTCAATCGAATGTATCCATGTTATCATTGCAGGAAGTATTTACACACATTTTCTAATAAATTAAAACTATTGTATGTTTATTAAAGAAATAGAATAGAGGAGTTGACGTTATTCAGAGGAAATATTAGCGGAATAATAAATTTTCTTGTGTATTTACCAAATATGAAATACTGTAATGTTCATTGAAAAGTGAAGATTGCAAGAGACTGTGTAAGCAGTGCTACAAAATATTAAAACATTTTCAATTTACTAAACCAAAAGGATAACAATAGAATTTATTGAAATCTTTCTTCAATTCCTGAAGATGATTTAACCCTTTCTTTAATCATGTCTTAATCTTATTACTCTGTATTTTGCGAATAAATAAAGATGTTTATTTTTGTATTATTATTTCACCTAAATAACTATCGATAGTTATTTATCATGTTATCATTTACCATAGATGACTATTTTAATCCATGTCTTGTCCTATTACTGGAGACACTTTTTACTTCAGTACGTGAATAATATTTACATCATTTAACCCACTCGATCAAATACTCTTTGCCAGGGTTAGTGGTTTTATTTTATACATAAAATACTATAAAAATAACTTTGTGAAAAGGGTCTGATAAGGTTTTACGTATAGAAATTTTTCTTATAGAATACTGATTTTCAAATGTTTCATAAACAAGCCCTTGGAAGCATTACTTTGAGACATTTAGAGGTTTAGAAAGCATCTTGTAAAACCCCCATTGCATTGATATACATACATATGTACTGGTTATACTGACTATAATTCCATTATATAAGATGGATAATTCCATTTATATAGATCAATATCAACTCATATTGAGATCATATATTCAACACCTCCTGTTGAATTATTAATAAAGCTAAGCATCCAGTATATATCCAGAAGATAAAATTTACGAAATTGTGGTTTATGAAGAATCCTCGATTAGTTTTTCTTCACACAAATTGGACACCATTAACCACGTTATTATGCTTGTCTGAATGGGAATTTTGTATTTACAGTAATCTCGCGCAATACGATACGATTTGGATCGATACAAGGTCCAAAGCGGACCTGACGTTCATGCGTGCAGCAGTATAAATTCAAATAAATAAAATACTTCAAAATATTGTGAAAGATAATTCAATTCAGAATAGTATATGATGTTCAATTTGGATCGCAGCTTTCTCGAATCTAGATTCTATTAAATATTAATAGGACGTATTTTTTCTAATAATTACCAATTTTAAACCATGAATGGACTGCAAACAGAAATTATCCAAGTGTGAAAAAACATTCACGAAAACACCATAAACAACCTGATTGGTACTCCGGACAAACTTTGTTCGATCATCTGGAATAACAGCAATACTATAAATTGTTAGCTACAAATTAATAAACGTAGTGATCACAATAAAATAAGTTTTCTCTGGGATTGGTATATTTATGAAACTCTTTTACACATTAAATTTACTGCCCACGTTTAATTATCATAATAGCATATAAACGGTTACTTTTTTACCATTAACACTTTACTGATGTGTAGCCTATTAATGGACTTTTAAATTTCAGTGCTTATACATAGATGAATTGTAGATCAATACGTAGATTAATCCTTTTATTTTTTTCATACATATTAATAATTAATTAGGCAAGTCGTGTGACTCGACGTTTGCATTTGGCAAATGTTAATTGGTCGCGTGGGCGATTCACGTTTTCAGAAAATTAAATTCTTTATTTTTTATCAGAGGATCATTCCACACAAAGTCGGACACTTTTTAGAATAACATTTCGGATTTTGTTCAAACTTGGATGTCTTGCGGTCTTTAATGATATACAGTATCAGACAAAAGTATTCGTACACCGTTTAAAATGGAACAACTTTTTTAAAATTGGTCCAAATGACTTGAGTTCTTTTGTGAAGTTAGGAACATTAGTTTACTACACGATGTGTCCAAAAAAAAATAAAAAAGTTGCAATTGGTCGGAATCGCGAAGAAACTAGTAAAGGTCGTTTTTTACACCTTTTTAATCTGAGGCTATAATGAAAATTTAATAAATACATATCGTAGAATTATGTTATTTGTATACATGTTGATAATTTCATCAAAACTGGTTAACGTTGCTACGAGATACAAATGATTAAAAATGTTGAAAATCACAGTTTTTCCGGACTTTCGACCTAAAATTAGTAAATCTAACAATTCCTAGATCTTTTAATGCCTGTTGTCTGTCGCTCGTTTCTGAATCAACCGATTTCAATGGAAGTTTCAGTATGCATATAACTAACATAAATCTTCGATATGTACTTATTAAATTTTCATTATAGCCTCAGATTAAAAAGTTGTAAAAAATGATCTTTACTATTTTGTTCACGATTTCGACCAATTGCAATTTTTTCAATTTTTTGTTTAAACATCATATAATAAACTAATGTCTCTAACTTTACAAAAGAACTGTAATCATTTGGACCAATTTTAAAAGAGTTGTTCCGTTTTAAAGGGTGTACGAATACTTTTGTCCGACACTGTATGTATAAACGAATCTCGAAGAACTTATCCAAATTTTTTAAATCGTCGATTTTACAGCTGTTTAAAATATAGTGTCAACCTTTTTTCAATAAACGATAACTACTGAAGTAACAAACTAATTAAAATGAGCTTTGTGAAATGATTAATTTGCTATGTCGAAGCACACTGCCTCGACAGGCCGAGCCATGCGGTACAAATAGTGTTAACGTTAATTACTTTTCATAAGACCATGTTGAAGTGAACGTGTTTTTTTTTTAATTTATCCATTCTTTAAAATAATTTTAAAATAAATGGTTAAAAACTTTTTTTTCAACTAAAACAATTTTTCAAAATTAATAATTTCACCGCTCCAGACGCGATCTCATGAAAAACTGTTCGCAAATATCAATAGGAGATATGAAAGCAGTTGTTGATCTCGATTGGCTCGCATGCAGCTCGTGAAAAGTTCGTGAACAGCTTGCATATGTACATCCGGCGAAGGATCTGTATAGGCGGAACGATATGTAAAACACTGTTCGCAAGGGCTTCGGTGGAGAGGAAATTGTAATTATTATACTTATTACTAAGCTATTAAAACTGGTAGCAGAAATTCTACGGATGAAGGGATTGAAATTTATCTTCTAGTATTTATTAAATATTTCAACTTTTTAGTATGTTCTTGAATCACGTTTTAAGTTGGCTAAACAAATTTTTATGTCCAATTTGAGAAATACAGTTTCATGAAAAATAACCTTAAAGTATTCACTATAAGTTAAGAATTTTAAGATACATATCTTAGAATAATCGACAATGTCTAATCATATTTCGGTTCTTTTGTTTTTTTCAATCAACTCTTTTTGGGGTGCTCCTTCTCGTTAAGTAATTCTGGCTTCAATATAATTATGTTTCGTCTAACTATACCTATAGCATTATTATTAAATTATTTGTTTGTAGGCCCGTTTTGAAGTAGTCCATAACATTTTATTTATAAAAGCTATGTCATGTCTGTCATTGCTACCAAGTAAGCTGCTACTTACTGTTACATCGCAGCAACACGTTTTGTCGCGTAGTAGCATACTAATAATGACACATAGGTATTTCCATTGTTTTCATCCTAGTATTTATCTAATTCTAATTGACCCGGTGACATTAGCTTTCAATGTACATTTCACCACGTTCTGAACTTCGTCATTATCGAATGGATTACAATTGAATTTACAAAGTTTATCTTCCATCTTACTTTGCTCTTCGCTGCTTGCAGCAACTTGAAGCTCTTGGTAAACAATAATTGGGTTGGGAATTCTGATCGATAATTTATGGTCAAACATAGCCCAAATTCTTGATATCATATCTTTCGTAGAATCAATGTATGTTTTGTCGTCTAATTCGTAGTACCTGTCTCAACTACAAATCAATTTTAGCGTCTACATACGTATAGTCTATGAGTCAATATGTATTATATTTTTATTTTCCTACAAAACAAATTCTTTATTTTGAAGCCTTACATTGACAATATTAAATGTATAGGGGCAAACCTTACGGATAATAATAAATACGTGATGTACTGTGAAAAATAGATTGCCATATTGCCGGCTGCACGGCACACTAACCGTGTTTATGAAATTATTTTGTTACAATCCTTTAACTCTGACATTTCTTTGTCTTCTGCAGAGGCTTCAAATATTTATAAAAGGAATTATTTCGCCATTAAAAACCTGAGTTAATGTTTCAGGTAATAAGTATCATTATCATATACATATCAACATTTTTTTATAATTTCAGTAGAAGCATTCGTTTCTGACCTATTAGGTTACCATTGAAGAATCTAAATATTCTAAGGGAGAGTGTACACGAATTTATCAACGTCAGCTGGTTAATAATATTCTTACCGGTTATGTTATTTCCTACGTACCCAAAGCAGCTTATCCAAGTGTACGAATTCACCATACTTCATCCACTCGTGTTTAACGGTACCGAGATGTTAGACATTTAAAAATTCTAAACGAATTCGCTCCGCCAAACGTAACCACGTCCCACGATTTCTTAAAGAAACCAGTTCGTGAGCCCCCTTGGGCGCTTTGTTCGACTAGTTACGCCACTGTCGTCGGTGTACATATATGTATACCGGCAGTCCCCTTAATGAGGAAGTTATTTTTATTTCGTCAGCGGCCCATGGGGCAATTATACGTCCATCGTGTAAACATATAGCGGCGCGAGACTGCGCACGTGTATCGCTCCGTTTCACCCGTCTCTCGTGCGCGGGAAAGAGACGGCCGGATTGGGCTAGTCCGGGGAACACACGCAACATTCGCGGGGCGATCAGCTGACCGGCTGCGCTCCGCGGATCCCTCTATCGGTCGAGTTTCGTACGTGTACCGGGTGCAACGATGCGGCGATGATCCCCTGTGGAACATTTGTATATATGCGTGTTTGTACACGCATCCGTGCACGTATCTCTTCTCCACAGAAGCTCCTATAGCTATAGTGCATACATAGCCAGCGTGTGGTATTCGGTCAATAGCTGCCTGGACTGGCGCAGACGCGACGGAACAGCTGAGTATGCGTTCGCGTACATCCAACGACGGTGGTGCTGAACCATTGGTGTACATCCGCGGAAGTGTCGTCCGTGTCGTCGTCGACTAGCAAGGAGTTTGCACGAGCGCGGACTGCACCATACATTCTACCACGCACCGCATTGCCGTATTTTCGATGCGACCGTGTCATCCGCGGGACATACCGTTGTTGCCCGTCAGCCACGTCCGTGTCCGAGGGACAACCCGAAATCTTGGCCACCAGGCGATATATTTGAATCGCGTTCGGATGAGAGGAATCGGTGCTCCGTGGTAGAAGACGCACGCGAACAAGTCTCTGATAGTGTAATATATCGATCGTTATCCGTTCGACTCGACCGGTGCCGCGAGGTGAAAGAGGATCTTTCGAGATAAGAAACGTACGAGTGCTGACGAACGGGAATTTCATTGATCTTTCGAGCAGCTTCCGGGGAAGAATGATGCTGCGGTTATATTGTACCGAATAAGCTTCCGGGTTGTTGTCTTCGAGAGAAAGTCCCGTAGACTTCTCTGTACTGTGTGTAGAATGAGGAACGGGACGGGGATATAGGAAGTCTAGTTAATAATTGACATTTCCGTTCCGTTGAGAGAAGATCCAATTTTGCGAGTTAGTTTTTGCATGCGACTGTGGTAGCAGTAACGTGGGACAGTGGCGCCCCTCTACTGGACTGCTAGCTACGACAATACTCATCGCAGGTGTGACTTTTTCAAACTCGTTTTTAAGCTGGTCGCGCTTGTTGCATTTTCAACTGTTTAACGATCGTCGGCGGATGTGGAATTCTGAGGTCTTGCAAAGGTTATGCTTCCGTTATATTTTATGTGTTTCTCAGTTATTCAGTGAAACCATCATTCATCTCGCGCATAAGAAAAGAATAGTGCATTTTTATTACACATAATATGTCTTGTAACTGAGGATACAACCTGGACGAGTCTATGTGAAAAAGTAGATCGAGAACGGTGAATAACATTGTTAAATGTTTGGCTTCGATTAAAAAAAAACAAAAATCAAGTTTGATCATTTATTTGTTACGCGTACTTATTTATGGTTGATAAATACAGGAGTATTGTGGCTGGCTATTACTCACTACTCCCACTTATAAAAAACACTGGTCATAATGACGGTTTTGTCTATTGTAAAAAAATAATACCATACCAGTCAAATGCTCAGTTACACACGTTTGCGATTAATTTTCAACACTGATGTAATCGAGTACAAAGTCCCACATATAAAAACGTTATTGCATATTTTTTATTCACTTCTACAAATAGAATAGTACAGCTTCTCAGTTGTCATAAGTTACAGGACACGATGTATGTCGAATCACACCTTCCCGTTATTCTTCAATTGCAGGAAGTAGCGCGTTCTAGAAGCGTGTGATTCTATGTATGCATATGTATAGGTTAGAATATACGTCATCGTCACGATGCGTGTATTCTTTTTGTTTTCTTCAAAGTACACATCAATTCCATGTACGTTTTCGTTTAATTTCTACACATCTCGGTGTACTCGAAAGAACTGTAACATCAATCATTTACAACAGTAGAAAACATAATAGGAAATAGGACCGTACGAAATTAACCGATTACCAGTGTTACGTCATCTGTTGGATATTTTTGGAGATTCCATTGTCGCGTAATACGTAACAGATTCATTATAATTTTTCAAATACATTACGAGAATACGTTTTATATGATATTAAATCGATAACGAGTCTCATAGAAAATTTGTCGTGCTTCGCATTAGCACGTGGATTACGGGCGTTATCGACTTAGCGGATTCATTTTACATTGTATAACGGTCAATGAAATGCAGAAAATCACGTAGAATCATTCGGTGAACACATAACGTCTTCGGTTAACACATCGAACAGAAATCTAATGGTGAATTACCTATTAACCTTCGGAGTACGAACGTTTTTAATGTTCGTAGAGACAGTGGTGCCTGGGTCCGTTTGAAACCCCATGTTTCCCATCTTTTTAAACATACTTTCGAGCGAGATCATTTTTTTTTATGCTACTAAATATAAACAACTTCTAACTTAAATTATATTTACAAATCGATAAGTTAGATATGGCTTTTAAACACTTGGGTTTAAGCGGACCCGGTCACCATACTCCAAGGGTTAAAGATGATTAAGATGTTCAGCGAGTTGGTTTAATATCTCAGATATTTTGGTTTTTCAGACCTCGTGGCGGAGTAGGGCCTGAGCCACCGCACAGTAGCGACAGCGATGAATACTCGTCGACTCAAGGCCATCATCAGCAAGCGAGTCATGGTCATGTTCAAGGCCAAGTGGATGTCTACAACGTGCCCAAAGTCCACGTGTCGGGACCACCTAGCAATGATGAATCCTCTTCCGTCATCAATGGGTAAGTTTTGTGTTTGCCTTTCCATTCCCGGCGATAATCGTTCAGGCACTTTCATTCATAATCGCCGCTATATCGAAGGGACACCATCGTCATAGTGTTCTTGTACAATATGTAATCTGGTATACAGGCACCTCGGAAAGTCGGTTAACGCACTTTTTATAGTGCTTCACTTTCGGAGCAATGAAGAACGTCGTATTGCTATGACACGAGTTTTTCTTGTGCTTCTCTGCACATTTGCTAGATATTCATTAACTCGTTCAGCATTTATTTTAGATTGTATATTTTAGTGATTATTTAGTACCATTAAAGGATATTGAAACGATGTACAATACTGTTAGAAGTTTGAAACATTCAGAAAATGTTTTTTTGTAATTAATTATTGTTATGCAGGTGTATAAGTAAATACAGTGCAGAATATTGATTTATTACTATAATATTTTAAATAATTCTCATAAATTTGTTTTAAATTTTATTACTTTAACATTACCGTCTTTTGAGTTTGAAAAAGATTTAATTGGTTCTTAACAATCATGGTAGTTGAGATGTAAATCTACCGGTTACAATCCCATTTGTTTATTAATATTTTCATATTTCAGTATTGTTATTTTCATGATAATGAGTGATAATCAATTATTCAACGTATCTGAATAACAACTTCAAGTATAAGATCAAATAAGTTGCATATATGTATAACAACACTGAAATTATAAATGTATATAAAGCAAGTAAAGGTTTTACAAATCTTAATGCGAGTAATAATCGCGGAAGCTAATTCCAGCATTCTCGGTTTTCACGCACTGAGAATTACTCTTTATATACCCAAAATTCGAGTCTAAAAGTAGGGGGACACACACCTGTTTTTTAACGGAAATCAGTTTTCCAAGAAAATCTGGTCATGTCATAACACCCCCTGGGCAACTACGTAATCTAGCCGGATGCATTCCAATTCTCGATAGCGTTAAGAGGTCACGAGAGTGTCTTCGTACGTAACACTCGAATCCTATCACAAATTCTCCAACGGTCAATGAGCGACAGGCCATCCGCCTTCGACTCCACTTAAAACACGTTGACGCTAATATGTATGCATATATTTGTCGAACACTGCTACTGAAGAGCGAGTATTCGCTTTCACGTAAAAACCTCCCAATGGAGGGGTGAAAATGACCATCCAAGTTATTTTAGTCTCTTCCATTCCTCCAAACACTATTAATAGCACAAGAAAACGTTTTGGGAAATTTAAAAAGTGAAGAGATTGAGAATATTCTAAAAAATCACATGAAATATTAACAGGCTGTTAAGTATGGTCTATGACACATTGTTTCGAAATCAAATGACGGTGACGAACGTGTCAGTAATAACGAAGAATATGAAAAAAATGTCCAGTGTGAACTGTACAACTAACTAACGTGGTGTATACGTTTAAAAAGAAGGAATGGAAGTTACTCGTAGTGTCCCTCAATGACTTTACCTATTAAATTATGTCGCCATTTTATAGAATCTTTTGGGAAATTAAAGAAAGCAAGAAAATTTACGAAGTTTTGAAAGACGAAACATTCAAAGTAGATTGTACAATAACTGAATAGAAACTTTTTAGAAGTCTTAGAAACTTGCAAAACTTAAAAAGTGGAAAGGTACAAGTTCTTAAGAATGGTCTTACTTCTTCATCGACAATGTTTTTAGATAAAATACGCAATTTATTAGCGTGCATATGAAAATGAAACATTGTGATCGTAACAGTAAGTGTGTTCATTTCGATTTCGGGTCTTAGTTTTCGTCATGTTACAAATATAAAACGTTTCAGCGGACTTGATGTCGAATACTTTGCGGATGTTCGTTGTCAGTGGTCCATTTCGGTGCACGTTCTAGTGCACTTTGCAAATCAGTTCCGTCTACTCTCTGTAATACTGTTCACACTCAATTGATCTTCCATATGCACAGTGGTCATCCATTACTCATAATAGCACACGCACTGGTTGGCTCGAGGAAGTGAAGTCATTACATACATGTTAGGCAGCTAACGTTTATATGTATAGGGTGTCCCGTTTAAATCGATCCCCTCGAATATCTTTAAAACTGTCAATAATACCGAAGAATATTTTAAATAAAGATTCAATAATAGTTTCGAGGTATAATCGTTTAACCCTTATCCGTCCTCGGTGTCAATTTGACACATTTTTCTCCTAAGAAATGATATTATTCTGTCATGTATAGGTGAATTTAGCTGAGGCTCCGTGACTTTTAGACTGCGATTGTAGTGTGGCGGCGAGAGGCGATGATAGCGGTGAGGTGAGCATCGCGGCAAAATCAAACCAACAGAATCCAATGCGAGCGATTATAGTGGAGCGGAGATGAGAGCAGCGAGGATCTGTTGGTTTGTTTTTGCTGCGATGCTGACGTTGCACAGTGGGTCAGATCGAAGAATTAGTTGTTCACAACTGTTTTAATGTTATTTTAATACTTAAGGACAATAATATATAGGTCATTGAATTAGTCTTGACGTCAGCTATAATATTATTAAATAAAAAATATATAGTGACCATAAAAAAATTAAGGTGACCTTATTTTTTATTAAAAAATTTTTTTTTTATTTTTTCATATTGGAATTTGCAGAACAGGAAGAGCTGACTAATCTGTGTTGGAAACATTTTTTTGTCAGTGCATTGTTATGATATGTGAATAATGAATTATAATTGAAAAGTAGCTGTTCAGGCTTTTCAACCAAATAGAGTAATCCATAATGCCTGCAACTCTGTCATTTTTAAGTGGATTATCTTGAAACTTGCACCGAATATTCTCGAGATGTTGTACTTCAAGAAAATGTAGAAAGTGATGAATCGATTTTTGTAAAATTTCTGACTGAGCATGACCCCTTAACCCAGACGCAACACCCCAGTGTTCAAAAATCTTTGAAGGGCAAATTTTAAAAGATTTCTGCATTTCGAGTGGTACGTGCCGGCTCGTACTTAATTTATTACGGTGGCCCTGGGTGGGCCAAGTATGCACGGTGTGAAAACGCCCGGCCAACATTCGGGGAAAATTTCTGGGTTTTCTCAATCACTCTAATAGTTTAATAATTTTTTCCCCGGGAACAGGAGTTGGTCGTAGCAATTCATTACGAACGTAACATAGTACAAAGGATTCAGATACGTAGGTACGCAACAATTCGGGTAAGAATTTCAGAAATTTCTGAGATAATAAAATAAAACCTTTAGAAAGTAAACATTTTGTTGCATTGAATGTTTTTCTTGCTTCGCACTGATAAGATAGTAGATACTGCAAAACGAGCAACGTACACCAATATCCATCAAGTAATTATTTAAGAGTTAAGTGCACGCATACTTGGTATATGTGCAAAATCGATTTTCTCGAGTACGATGCCTTATTTAAATAAATTCTATTCTCCATTTTTGATATATTTGTTCATTGTTTTCCAAATAGGACCATTATCTTTGAATAGTAAAAATTTATACAGCGATACACAATAGCAAAGAAACAATGTTAGATAGTACATGTCCTAAAGCTCATATTTTTTGAAATATTTAACTTTTAACTGTGTCGAGTTTTATTTTGTAAATTAAATTATAGGTAACAATATGGTGTACATGTTGTAAAGCGATTTAGTTTATAAGTTACTGCAGTTGCTTATACAAACTGAAGTTTTCAAAAGAACATTTTTCAAGTAGATGTTAAACAAGAACTTCTTGCTGTTATTAAAAATGTTACCAAATTAAACATAAAAGTTTGATTCAACTTCATAAACATTCAAATTTTATTCCATTTTGAACTCTCCTGTATGTTATAAGAATATAAAATTCAGAATCTGTGTATTCGGTACAATAAGTTTTAGTTAACGTGAAAATGTGTTACAAAATGCAAAAGAATAGAGACATGGAAGCAACAAATTTTCCAATCCCTTGTTCCGTTACTGTTTTCCCATTCCAATAAATTCATTTTTTATTTGGTGAGCAATATTTAAAAACTACTGTTACGAAATTCAAAGCTTAATTCACACCCTTCGATCTTGATATTGACTTTCTTGAACTTTCTCTTCAAGTTATAAATATATTTATCTGTGTCGGATTTTGTTGAGCTTACAGATTAAATAAGTGTAATCAGTTTATCGTGTGTTTTGAATTCATAATCTCCAAATTTAATGAATTTTAAAAGTAAATACATAATAATAATAATATTAATCAATAATGATAATAATAATACAAATCAGCATAATAGATTAAGATACTCGAAGACCAGTTGAAAGTATTTGAAGGATAGTCTCGTGACATAACAATAGCTGTAGAATAGGGGAATAGAAATGAGAACAAAACACAATATCTTATTAACACACCACCATAAAAATAAAAACAAAAACAATAGTCTATAAATTTGTACGTACACGTTGTACGTGTTCCGGACATAATATTTCTCGTTCAATAGCCATAACATGCAATACGATGTTTGAAAATTACGTGGTATCGCAATCGTATTATCAAACTGGTATCGCAAAGAATCGGTGTTATTCCGTTCGAGAATAATAATAGTAATTATTATTATAGCTATAATAGCTATCATTAAATATTATTAATAATAATATTACTATTGTGGTCTTTATTATGCAAACTTTGAAGACTGACAAGAAACAAGAAAATTGAATCGAAAATAAATGATTTAAGTATTTCATTTTTAACTTTATCTGTTTACAAATGTTAGCTTCCAGACAGAGTCTTATTTTTATGATCAGGAAACTGTCGGCAATAATCGTTTACAATTTGAAGAACGTACTCTTTTTGCTCCTCATTGCTCTTTTTAACCACTGCTGTTTTTAAACCACTTAATAGTTCTGTATGTAGAAATTTGTCATCGAACTCTAATCTTTTAAAAAATGCTTTAGTTTTACTGGAACCACAAGTTAGTTTGGCTACAGGCTCGATTGTTAAAAGATTACTGAAAAGAATAAAAGTAATGAAAGTACAAAGTTAAATCTACGAATGTTTAACTGTATT